TGGTGCAAATTACTGACCTCTGTCATCATTTTAAGTGGGGGAACTTGCACAATCGGTGGCTGACTAAATACTTTTTTGCCCCACTGTATATACAATTATTTATCTAAAAATGCATCTGGCCTAAAACCTGCAGGCCTGACAGCAGCAGGCATGCAGGCAGCAGCAGACACTGTCTCCAGCATCCACCTGGGGACAGTGTTTACATTGCAATCTACCTTTGTGACATTCATTAGTGCCTTACTGACACACAAAACGAAACAACGAATATACTAACTACACAAGACAACACAACACACTAACTGTACACTCCATGCTAAACGTCACAAATCTGTCACATCTCGAAACTTGCTCTCTCTATGCGTCTCTGCCATCACTCCCAAAAATCTCCCCTCTTCCTAAACAACCATGTTAAACTGGTTGACATGGTACATTTTTCCACCAATAGAAAGGAGGGTTTTTTCTCTTTTTTCATAATGTCATTACAAAATGATTTATAACCGCTTATACAACCCCAGAGAGTTAATAACACTCACCTTCATTTCATTTCCAGAGTGTAACAACTAGCCACCTGTGTGAAATGTGAAATGCCCATGGTGTTGTTCAAAATGTGCTCTGGGACAATCATAGGCATTGGTTGCTACTGAAAACAAGAAATAAAGGCGGTCTAAGATGGATGCGCAGCAACAACCGCTTCTTTAAGATCGTTGCTGATGTCTTTCCTTCTAGGCATTGTGTTAATACACACCTGAATGCTCCAAAACGTCTGCTTTTATAGAGGTGCCCACACCTGCTGATGATCAGTTAATCTAGTGAATTTCATACCCTCTTAATTCCTATGGAAGCAGTAAGTTTATTACATTTATTATTTTTTAATACATAAAAACCTCAGAACTGTAAGGGAGAGTATTTTGTTTGGTACGAAAAGTACAATACAAACTCAGCACATCACAAGAAACAATGTTTTTATTTAGGGGTACATAAAAGTTTGTTAAACAGAAACTCCTTTAAAATGATTACAAAGAACATTTATATAAATCGCATGCATAAAAAGGTATAAAATAAGTCTGATTGCATCCAAACTTTCTGTAAATAGGATAACAAAAGTCATTATATGTAACATACATAGCAAGTGTCATGCATCCTCAGATAAATATTAGGCTAGGTAGTGTGTTGCACTATGTGTACGAGCAGTAAGCCGCTCAGTAAGTTTGGTACTTAAATTTTAGGAAACATCACAAAACGTTGACTGTGGGGGAGGGTTAATTATACCTTTTTACTCTATACTGTATACTAATAGATATATTTAACAATGCTGGTTAGAGGAAATTCTTTCACCAACAATTAAAAGCTTCAATTTTAGATAAAATATACAAACACACACTGCAGAAACAACCGAGCAGTTAAAAAACAACAAAAAAACCAAACAGATTATACACTTCTTACATAGCTTTACTAATAAGGGAGAATTAAACTGCTCCCCAGCTGATGTTTGCCTCCTGCATTGCAACTTCAGATAGCCTTTTCAGTTAGAGTACAATATATACTACAAACACAGCATCCGCATTTAGTATTTTTCTTTTTGGAGAAGTCAGAACAGGAGCTTTGATTTATGCTGAAGTCCTTTTATGAAGCACGACACATTTCGCTTGATCCACAAACAATTCTAACTCTACAGTGTGGCAGCAAATCAATATCTTATTAGCACTAAAAAAAAAGATTATTTCTCTATGATAATATTGTATTTTTCCCACTATTCCAGGCATCTAATGCATTCCTATCCATCCAAAACTGCTGGTATGATGCTGCTTTCCTGTAAAACCATCTAATCTACATCAAGTAGCTGTAGACTGTGAAACAGGTTAGTTGTTGCAGTAAATTGTACTGGTTAATAAACAACAAGCCCAAATGAAAGACTGCATCTTCTACAAGATATTCTAAAAATAATATAATGTAAATCAGACACATGACTTATCGTTTCATTGAATATGAGAAAATCAATTAGCCTTTGACATCCTCCCCATTAATTTTGATGCATTTGCAATTTAGGAAACTAAGGGGTAAGACTGGATGCCTGAAATAGTAGAAAAGTGCATCTGAAAAATAAACAGCAATGATAAAAATTGTAGCTGATTTGCAGTTGAGAAGTTCAAACTTGGCTTGCACGTTTTTTCTGTGTGGAGGTGGTGCTTTGGTGTTATACGAGGAGAATCATTAGGATTGCCTCAAGCCAAAAAAGGGAATAAACCAGTTTAATTATCAAAGCTGGAGGAATGCTGGCAGATGATTTAATTTATGTTAGAAAAAAACCCCAACAAAGAAAAGGAGTGGACAAAGCAGCCACACGCTACGCAATCCAGTATAACAAATCTCTAACACATACTTGTGAAGTTTCAATCCAGTTCTGTGTGCACAAAATCATGGGAATAAAATGCAACCTAACATGGCAACAAGACAAGTAAAACCTGTATGTTAGTAACTGTATATGCAGAGATTTTACATCAGAGCGGTGTGAGGGTTTCTTTTTAGAACAGATGGGCTAATTAATTAATAAACTTCATCAAATCACCAGATGAGTTGGGATTACCGTTTGCCGGGGGAAAATCCTGTATTGGGAGACATTGCGTTACAGTGATCATGAGATCATTCACTGAAGATGTTCTCTGTAACAGTTCCTCTCTGTGTGAGGAGGACTCCTGAAAGCAGATTATATTCTAGTTTTAGTCTTCAAACTAAGACTCCTTTGTATGGTGGCATCACTCTGTAGCTCTTTTTATTTTTATTTTATGGCAGACTTTGAATTGTCAGGTCTTTAGACCAAGTTTTAATTCTTCTGCGTGTGAGGATTTCAAACAACTGCTTTTAAGGTTTGGAAGTAAATGCGACTCCTTTTAGCATCTTCATTCATGACAAATTCTATAGAGTCACACCAAAAAAGTGCATCAAGTCCCTAAACCAGAACAGTGGCAGCTTTTCAGCAGGGGGTCTTTAGTCAGGTATAACGCACCTAGTGTTAGTTCTTGAGTTTGATTGCTAAGTTCTGACCCTTGCTAGGAATGTTTTGTTGTTGTTGTTTTTAGCACTCATGTACATTTAAAAATCTGAATTTAGAGGCTGTTTTGACGAAGTAACCCACTAAAAGTGTGTGTAACAAAACATCGTATCGCTTCTGTACCACTTTTATTCTTTTGAAATGCTCTTTTTGTGAATTCACTCTGTTTTTTTAAAGTACCCCTAATATGCTGTTGTTATTTCTGTGAATGTTGAAAGGATCTTATTGTAGCGATGTCTGTGTGTTGCAAACATGATATCAGCTGAAGAGTAAATGGGGCTGGCCTGTACTCTTCTGTAATACCACTTTGAACCACAAGGCGGCGCACTGTGTCAATGTAGTCTCTACTCTGTGTGAGCTAATCTGCTGAGATCAGCATGAGATGTTCAAACATGATAAAAGTTAGTGTTAGTGTGACATGTGTACAGAATTCATGCTACTATCATATTAAGCCTAATAATTTGGGTTAAAAAAAAGTATAATTTTTAAAAAAGAAATATTAAAGTTCATGTTTGGATAGTAACACAAAATATTTTGAAAAACACATAAAATAATGCATTTCTGGGTGTAAGAAAGCTTGTTAATGGCACAGTTTTGGGTTTGTTTGTTTTTTTTGTAGGTGATAATTAAACATACTTCCTAAAAATTGTAATTATCTCAAACTTTTACCTTAACTTGGAACTTAAAAAATTTTAAAATCTAAATTTTGAGATAAATTTCAACTTAGAAAGAATTTGCAGATCTTTCTTTCAAGTGGCAGAAACAAACTTCCATTTTGTTGCGTGGACAACTACACTAACATTTTATTGTAAAACACTGCCACCTTTTGGTTAAAGTGTTTTACAATTAATTTTTGCATGCCACACCATGTACTGGACTTCATGATATTGCTAAACAGTTTGAGGGGCTTTCTAAGCAGTTCAGGCTTTTCCTCCGTTACTCATCTAACTCACTATGTAACACATATTACCCACTTGGCAGTTTTGCAGAGCCCAAAAGCAAGCACGAGGAACTAGTTAAATCCAGATGCAGGCCACCCTTGTATCACCAACAGAGTTGGTAATTATAAATGTACCTAACGTTAGAGTTCCTCGACCAGACAGAAACATCATTGACATACGTTAAAAACTATAGGAGTGCTGTGATTTTAGCCTTAATTACATGCAAAATGCTCTCTGTGAGAGAAAATAATCAACTATTGAATTTAATCCTAATGTGAATAATGCTTTCTGCTTGCACCCAACGCCTCTTAGACTGTTAAAAACCTGTTAACTTCATAACCTCTTCAGTGTTTCCTTGCTTTTGTCATTTCAACCAACCAAACAGAGCAGCCTTTTAGTGACCATCTTAAAGAGACAGGAGTGTAAATGACAAGGCATTTTTAAATGTACAGTTTGAGAAAACCAGCATTAAAAAAATCATTTATAGATTTTTCTAGTAAACATTTAAAATAAAATTCTGAACCTGTAAATGAGTATAACGGGGCACTTTAAAAGTTTGTTCCAAACCAGCTACCAAGTAAAGACTAAAAAGAATGGAGTGTTATTAGAAAAATGAAAACATGGATGTTCTGTCGTGCTTCTCTTTAAAACCAGGGCCAAAAAGAGTAAAATACCAGCAGCTTACCACCTTCTTCCTCAGGATGTGAGTAGTGTTAGGTTATCCATCACACAACGGTAGCATATTCTCTCTGTAATGTTGTTCGGTACCACCTTTGGAGCCAAAAATCCACCAGAATTCTCAGTCACGTTATGGAAATTTGATGCCAAATTACATTTGGACCAGTGGCTGGTCGTGTCTATAGCCAGGTGAGCAGGCTGTCTCTGTCCATGTGCGAGCCGGATAGAACGGTCTCCATGTCCATCAGCAGGTCTGAACTCAGACCCTCTGGGATACAGGGCATCAGTTCCTCGCCCTCGGACATTGGGAGCACGGGCATCGAGTCCTGCAAGGCCATCGAGGGGGGCTCCGAGTCACCTGAACGTATCAGAAAAATGTTGCTTTAAATCAACAAAAGGTTCAAAAGATTTCAAACTGCACTGAATTTCAGTTTCACTGTCAGTGGCTTAAGTTTCACAGACACATTTACTCTCACAAAATAACCCCAACTAAAAACAAAGGATGCTAGGATAAGATCTTTACACTGTGTTAATCATTAATTTGGTTTAGCTAGAGTGTGGATGGATGATTAATCAAAAGCCTTATTTCCCCACCACAGAAACCCAAGTCTGTGTTTTTGTGTCATGGATGTTGTGTGTTTAGGTACATTACCAGTGTCCATGTGCTCCACAGAGCTCAGCATGTGGTCCGTCGTGCGGGGTAGGCTGCTGACGCTCAGACCGCTGTCAGTGCTCTCATTGCGAGAGTGAGCGCTGCACAAAGAAACATGCAAACCACAGTTACCTTGTTTTAGCATCTCAGCTCACAGTAGACTTTAAAGAGATTACAGATACATCAACTTCTTCTGGTGACTGAACTGCCAGTGCCTTCTGGAAATATTAATTTATGTAATATTTGTTTGCAGGTGGTGACCACAGATCTTTTTGTTGGCTTCCCACTTAGTGGACATGGAATTACGATGGTTTACGTTTCACTGGACAGATTGATCTCCCTGAAATTTAAAAGGCTTTTGTTATGCTGTGAAGATCAAGTTGATTATTTTTTAATTTTTTTTGGCGGGGGTAAACACTTCTAAATTTCTTATGAGTCAACACCCATGACTTCAATGATCACCACTCACCCATTAAGTGTAGGTTCGTGGTTCGATGCTCTGATCCTGACATCCAGAGACGGGACGAGTGTCTGTGCGCTCCTGTCGTGGTCCATCCCACCGGGCATCTGGCTCCTTCCTCCTACATCCTGAAACGCAAGACGCACACACACCTACTTGTATGACTTTGTGTTACACTCAAACTGAAACTGAACTGAACACCTGATATACAGCACAGGATAACTAAGTAAGCCAAAAAAAAAACTTCTATGCAGCAGCTTATGGACACAACTGTGCAACTTAAAATGAAGCGCAAGAGTTTGGGCGCAGTTTGACCCCTGACCTGTGGTGCGATTTGCTGAGGGATGCCTTGCTTGCATCGGAGCCTGTCCTTTTCCTGACTTTGCTGCATTGCCATGCCAAGGATGCTTGGGTTCATCTTCTGAGCTGTAACACAGAAAACGACAGGAAGAGATGCTTTTTGAGAATTACCTGAATATTTTTCACAACATTTTAGCATTTACAGTTATGAGGAAAACTTTTCAAAACTTTGCGATCTTTCTTTTTAAAAATTTTTTTTATGGCTGCCACAAAGCAACTTGTGATGGTGGACATTGGAACAAAATAGTTCTCATTGACAAACAAGAATTGTCAATTTAGGAGACACAAATTTGATAGTGTGCTACCTAGACGCGGGTCGACCCATGTGGTGTTCTTATTTATGTGATCGATGTAGTACATCTCTCCATCTGCAGTCACAGCCTGCTCCCAGCCTTCAGGCAGTGGACCTGAACAGCAGTGAAAGTACACAGTGAGAAGGCAAATGGTAGATGGAGAGCACGTCCTTTAATTTCTGTGTTGTCTCTAGTTTGTAAAGATTTTATGGATAGAAGTGAAGGTTACAGGGTAAATACTTACAGTGTTTCCTGTGAAGGAAAAATATTCTAATCTGTGTGAATCCTCTCTGAATGCAGTGCGTTTAAGGCATTGGGGACGTGACTACTATCACCTCGTTATGGTACTGTCCCGGGGTGGAGAGACAGAAAAGGACTGCACAATTTTCTTTTTCTTGAAAAAATGCTTTCGTTCACCCAAATTACAACAGAAAAATATAGAAGTCCCCTTTACAAAAGCACCATCACCATTTAGGAAATTCTAGAGACCACATAGCAGAAGGTTTTTAAACAGGAACAAAAGGGATTCTGACCGATTACTGTATATGAACAGTTTCTTATACAATTTTTAACTTCATGATCGAAAGGAGAAACAAGCTGACATAATGCAACAAAATTTTAAGGCAAACTATATTATTCTAATCTGCTTTAACAATCACTAATCATCTACACTGGTGATTATTGAATAAATACTGATGTCGGTTCAATAATCGTGTCTTTCTTTTGGAGTCATCTGGAGGACTTTAATTTTTGATTTTAAGGTCTTTCTCACTGAACGCAGCAGGAAAAGTTATAGCAAAGTTACATTCAGAAAATTAAATAAGCAAAAATAAATTTACAGTTAAACTTTTGTTTTGAAAGTTTAAAGGGAAAAAAAACATTGCAAAAAGAAAGTACATCCCCCTACAATTTTTTATATATATATGAAAAGCAAATGCAGAAGCAGTGTGTGAGCATGATTGGAGGAAGTCTGACTCACTGTTACAATGCTGAAGTAACACATTCTGTGGTTCTGTGGCTGCAAAATGAGCCCAAATCATCACTCCTCCACTGCCGTGCTTGACAGTTAACGTGAGGCGTTTGTGTTGATATGCTGCGTTTGGCTTTTGTGAAACGTGATTGTGCATCACGGACAAATATCTCTACTTTGGTCTCACCTGTCCAAAGGACATTGCTCCAGAAGTCTTTTGGTTTGTCCAGATCCACCTTGGCAAAGCCGAGCCATACAGGCTTTCTCCTGGCAACCTTTCCAAACAAGCCTTACCTGTTCAGTCTTTTTCTAACTGTAATGCTATGACCTTTAACATTTAATAACCAACTGAAGCCTGTCAAGTCTGCTACGCAGCTCCTTTTGTTGCAGTTTCTCTAAGCATTGCATAATCTGACCATTGTTGGGACATCCACTCCTGAGAAGACTGGCAACTCTCTTGAATATTTTCCACGTGTGAATAATTCTCACTGTACAATGAAGACTTTATATAACCTTGTATAACTTTATAATCCTTTGCAGATCGATGGCCAGAAACATCAGCTTATCTAAGATCATTGTGGTCGTCTTTGCTCAATAAATACTCACTCATAGGTGCTCAAACATGGTGTTGATCAATTAATCAAGTGCATTTGCTATTACTTCACCTCGAATTTCCTAAGGAAACAGTCAGGGTCCACTTAGCTTGTTCCCCACACACTGCTTCTACATTTGAATTTTTTATTTTATTTTTTTAAAGCAGTGACACGATGTAATATGTCATGTTTTGTTGTTGTTTATCTGACGTTGTATTTAACTAATTTTAAGACCGGTTGATTTTTATCATTTTCTGACACATATATGTAAGAATGTACACAGAAATCTCTTATTGTGCAGCTGCATCAAAACGCAGCAGTGTACTTTGTTTCATGCAGTCCCCCATGCTGTCTCCACGCACATTTACAGTCAGTCTGTCATTTGACCCGTCAAAAAAACCCCAAAGAAAATATATAAATAATTGCAATTTGGGTGAACTGACCTTTAGATTTTAATTTATTTAAAGATAAGACGGTCCAGTTAACTGGAAAACCTGCATCTAAGTAAGGAAAACTCCTGATTTCTCTCAGATGAAATCAAAGAGTCCCGTCTCTGTGATTTTGCTCCCACCAAAATCACCAGAGCCACCAAAAGGATAAAGAAATCCCACCCAGCAAAGACCTGATCCACCGGAGGTGGAGTTATTATCAGAAGCAGGTCTGTGCTTTTCAAAGAAACTGGACGGCGAGCTGAGGGTCTGTAGGAGCTAGCAGAGTGATACCTTTCTCTGGGTTGATGTTTTGTGGTTGCGTTGTAGGTGCTGGGTTGCTGAGGGAGTGGGCATGGACCGGAGGGCCAGAGATGGGATGCTGAGCCGCAGCTGACTGAAGCTGTGCCAGGCGAGGGTCATGCCAAGTGGTTGTCTTATCCAGGTGACTGAAAAAACACAACAAGTCTAAACGTATCTGTGACTGTTAAACTACTGTAACCTGCTGGATAAGGAGCCTCGGACCTGCTTTACCTGTACGACCAGACGCTCACACACTCGCACAATCACATTCACACAGACAAATGACAACATTTGTGCTGCTGTAAACTACAATGACCTTTGTCAGGAGTGTCAGCTGCCAGGCCATGTGCTCCTGTGAAGTTACAACCGCACTGGTTGCAAAACTAGTCAGAACATTTTCTGGCTGCATGCAGCTAATTTGTTTCAGGCCTTGGTTACAGCAGCACTCCTGCATGCCTCTCCTCACTGTTTCCCATCACTTTTTAATCACATTGTTTGCACTGCTTTCTGTTGCAGGAAAAAAATCTAGTGAAAAATCTAAAGAAACGTTTCTTGGTGCAAATATAATTAGCTTTGAAATGGGTCGGTTTGATGATCCACGTAACCTGAACTACTACTGATGATTTTTATCATATTTTTACAGGAAGCTGTCAAGCAAAAGTGCAGCAAATGTGACTGTAAATTAATCACTTGAACAATCAGTGTGATCAAATTCTTATAAGATGCCACCTTGAGATTTGGAAAATTGTGAAAACCACTTGTTGCAACACAGGATGAGTGCCAGTGCACAACAGAGAGGATTGGAACAAGATGAACGGGGCTCCTCCTACACAACCTTTCTAATAACCTGCAGAGCAGAAGAGATGCAACACAGATAAACTGGAGGTTAACCTTACTTGAGGAAGTAACGCTGGCCAGTCGGTGTTTTGGCCATTTCCCAACCTCGGGGGAGTGGCATGTCATCGGGTATGATTGGTGTTGCTGCTACATCTGCTGCTTGAGTGGAGAGGGAGTTGACAGGAAGGGAAGCAGGGGAGGAATGGGCGCGGACGTGATGAGGAGCCTGGGAGCCGCACACACCTCCATCTGAACTGGCCTGACGAGAAACAAGCAGGGTTAACAACTCTGTCACGAAACCACAAACGGCAATCAGAAACATAAACCGACCGGATGGACAACAAGATCTGGAAGGAAACCAGAGTGAGCACTAAGAGGAAGAAGATTTAAACCGGTCATGTTCAAACTCAAGTGCTACGCAGTGCTGTGCACAGTACTAGTGTTGCTTTCCACACAGTTGTCCCGATGTTACTGCTGATCAAGTCTGACACACTGCAAGAATTCTCATGTTTGAGTCACATCTACAAATATAAGAAACTGTTTAAGGAGGTATGACTGATGATTGTGAAATAAATCAGAGTGTTATGCAATTTTAAATGATAAAGATGACAGGTGCTTTGTAGTCACAAGAAAATCCAAATGTTTCTCCCTGTGGCTTCTGTGAATCTCACCAATACCTTTATAACATATAACAATCTTCTTACAGCTGCTCCATCTCACCCTGTTCCTCTGTCACACCAGCCCTCTGGATCTCCTCCTTCAATGCATCTACAAACTTCCTCTTTTCCTCCTGCCTGGCATCTCCATCAACATCTCAGCCTTGCCTCTCTAACTTTGTCTCTATTTCTCCACTCATTTCTAATCTTCTCCATCCTGGTCACTCCCAAAGAAAATCTTAGCATCTTCACTTCTGCCACCTCCAGCAAACTAACATGGTAGAGTTAAGGACATATCTGAAACACTTTAAATATACAAAAACAAGGCGAATCTTTAACAGATACAGTCATTTAAGGTTTTATGCATAAAGTGAAATCCTCGTCAACTTACAGTTATAGATTCAAAGTTGGTAAATTCCTACCTTTGATAATTTTGCAGTGTAACTTACAATCTAAAAAAAAAAAAAAAAAAGCAGCCACTTTTGCATAAACCTGAAAACGTCGAGCAGGTCAGACACAGGGAGCCGTGCATCATTTTGCAGCACAGCTGAACTGTTTACTGTGGCCAGAAGGACTACAAATATAAGACAGCTAACACAACAGGTTAAAACGATCTGTGTAAGAGTAGGAATCATACAATCATCAGTCAACTCATATCATTTTCTTAGAGTCTCAACACAAAATACTGAACTCGGCAGGCATTCGGCAATGAGAAAAATGGGAAAACAATCCAATAACCTCAGTAAGACAGTCAGTCAGGACAGACACTGTTTTGAACCCTTCTTTTTTTAAAGAGCAATATTTTACACTTGTATTATGAAGCGGCAGTCTGCGATAGCTGGCTGACATTTCTAAGACGTCTCGTTTTGACACTTAGATAAACAGATGAAAGCATCAGGAAGATGGAAGCAGCAGGAAGTGTTTGGTGTTTTTGCACAATAAATTCTCTTAAAGTAAACAACTTCCCTTTAAACCCTAAGCTGCAACCATTTACCACCCATGTGGAAGCAGGGAGGAAAGCAACAAGATTCCCCAGGTCTTATAAAACGTACATGTTAAGCTGTTATTTACCCACAAAACCGCTCCATTTTACTTACTTTTTTATATTTCTAATATTTGTTTTGCATGTGTAAACAAGGAAAAACCTAAAGGATCAGAATGTAATGCATCAGCTCCATGTGTTTCTAAAGTATTCACCCCTCCTCCTGCCTGCTCATACAGAACATGTCGTGTCCCCACACTCTGTCGGACTGCAGGTTTTTTGGATTGCTCTGCATCACTGTGGTCACTGCACAGCTGTGATTTGCCATGAGTGTAAGAGTGTAATGCAGAGTCGGCTCTGTAAGCCTGCATGGTGAGAGAACAGCGGCTGTTTTTAGTACTTGTCTGGAGTGGCCCCGGGGATCCGGCTGTCTGAAGAAGGAGTCCGGCAGCTTTCTCATCCTCATGGGGAGAGATGAAGGCTGTTTGGCCGCGTTGGGGTTCATCACCGCCGTGAAGAGGGCCTCCAGCTCCGTCTGCGAGTCCCCGCGGACGTGCACGATCTGCTGCCCGGCCGGAGGCGCGCCACGGTGCGCGTCCATGTCGCCAAAAGTTTACTGTCGAAACAAATCTGTCGAAAAAGTGAAATAACGTAAACAAACAAGGAGAGAACCCCCCCCCCACCGGGCCCGCTGAGACTAGATCCGTCAAAGTGCTGGAGTTATGATCGGATTTGTTTACACTTTTTGCCCACCAAACCCCCCCTCCCCAATCACCACCAACACCACCCCATTTGAACTTTTGCGTCGTTGTGGCTCTTTTCCAATCTCTAATGTCTCGGAAGTAAATCAGATGTGAACAGATTGCCAATCATTCTGTAAAGAAGTCGAAAGATCGCATTTTAAAGCACGGATCTCAGAGCAAACTCAGTCTTAGCGGTGGACAACATGCCTCCCACATACCTTTAAGCAGCCAGACCGTTTCCCCCCTCTCTCTGTATTCCTGCAGAGGAAAAAAATAAGTCGGAGAAATCTCAGCCGGGAAAACAGTCAGGAAGACACCCGGGTTTGACGCAAAGTCTCAGCCGAAAACCTCCCAAAGTAAAAGAATAAACGCATAAATGGAAGCTGGTAGGAGAAGAGTGGTTTCTGCGAGACCTCCAAACTTTTTTTTTTTCACATCCAGCTTTCAGTCTAGATTCCCGTGATAGTGCGAAGGGGCGGGGTTGCAGGCTTTAAAGCTGCCGCAGTTGCAGGGGAAATACTTCACTCCTAGGACAGACGTGTGAACTATCAATAAGAAGGAACAAAAATCGACTTTGAGTGTTTTTAACACCTCCACTTGGATCATGTGAGTCACTTTCAGCCCTTACAATGGACGGAAATGAGCGTCATTCTACTTTCTGCCTAGATTTTTGATTCCAGTTTGTGCGGTTTTCCAGTGCAGCTGATGAAAGTAGCACAGCGCCAAATGCGGATAAGGAGGGAGGTGGGAAAGAGACAAGCGCAATAATATACTTTCAGGGGATAGGTGGGTGGGGGATCACTTCTTGAGTCCGGGCCTGGGTCTCGTCTGGTTTGGGGGTTGGGTGGGGAAATTGGGAAGTTGTACTGAGAAAACATCCGCCCCTGATGAGGCCAAGCCAGCCGGAGCCTGTTTGTCCCGTGCAGGCACGCAGGACACAGCGCCTGCCTCTAGTGGAAAACACGCGCTACAGTGAGCTCAGAGCTCAGCTGGCCAACAGATTGAATTCAAGAAAAATGTCTTTCTGGACTGCAGTGCGTCCACTAATTCAGTTCAGTATAACCCACCAAAGGCAGCAGCTCACACGGGGGGCGCCCGAGTCTTATATTAGCTAATAAACTTTGACTTGACGACTTATTGATCTGAATAAATGCTTGACTTTTTAATTTTAAAATAGTGAAAAAGTTAGTTTGAACTCATGCCTCATGAAAAATGTAGGCCAATTACCTGATTTAGCTTTTTAAAAAAAAAAAAAAAAAAAGTTAAAACAAATAAAAGTATTTTTCCATTCTGATTGTTTCTGTAAGCACATTTTTATTTACTTCATAATGTTTTACAGTCAAGCACTGGAGAAGTTTTAGGTTTTTTCTGCATCGATCACCTTTTAGAAACCAGTTTGTTTACCTCCAATCCAGTCTGATTAAAACACTGATGGAGTTATTAGGCTGTGTAAAGTTATATATTATCAAAATATATAGTTTGGCTTATATATTGTGTGTGTTCCCCCCCCTGTTTAGTCATTACTTTAGAGAAGTGTATACAATTTGAGGCCCATTATTTTACCAGTGAAGTACAAAGATAGCAGCATGGTGTAACACATACGTTTACCACTGTGAGCACTAAAGTGCTGTGACGGCCTCCTGTCTGTATACATGGGCAAGTTGCATAAGCTGAAGGTGAAGAAAAGGTCAGCAGACACTTTTCAGACACTCTGCCCTCTCACAGACACTCACAGGCTCAAATATCTGCGAGTCCCACTTTGCTGGCTAAACTGAGTGACCTGCACTGCTTCCATGTGAAATAAAAGTGTAAGAAGTGTAAGTATTAGCCAGGCGAATTAAATGCACTTGATTCACTGATAACCAGTAAGTGCGGGCAACTCTAAAAAAAGCAGATGTTTTTGACAGTTTGCTGGTCTGGACCATTCAGGTATGTTTTAACACTACGCTGCTATCTTCCCAGGAGTGGACGCCCCAGCAAATTCACACCAAGGTCAGACAGTGAAATGCTCAGAGGAAGAGTAAAAAACCCCTAGAGCTACATCTCACACTCTACAGACCTCAGTTAGTAGGTTAAATGTTAAAGTTCATGAAGGTATGACTGAAAAAGGCTGAACAAGCATGACTTTTTCGAGGGTTTGCAAGGAAAAATCGTCTTCTGTTTAAAAGAGTATGGTAGCACAGCTTAGGTTTTACAAAGCTGGATCTGAACAAACAATAAGACGTCCTTTGTACAAATTAGCCTAAAATAGAGATATTTGCACATTAGCACAAACACTTCATATTAAAGGTCAAGCGCGGTGGTGGAAGGGTGATGCCGCAGCACCTGGACACCTCATTGAGTCAATCATGAGCTCTATAGATCACGTGAAGCCATCTTTTTGACAGCTAAATTAGGTCAGAAAACAGGACAATAATCCCAAGTACAGCAGCAAATGGCTGAAAAAGAAAATAATCAAAGTGCTGCTGCAAAGTCCAGACCTCATTTTCATTAAAATGCTGTGGTAGGACTTTAAGACAGCTGTGCATATACAAATATCTGCAAACCTCAATGAACAGAAGCAAATAATGGATGAAAATTCCCTCCAAGCAATGTGAGAGACTGTCACACCGAAAGCCTCAAGGTATTGCTGCTAAAGATTGTGTTCTTACTTTTTCACAGCACTGCACAGACTGTTTTTAAATGTTTTAAATGTCAGGCTTAGGACATCACTGTCACTCATATTGCATTTTCATAAAATCAAATTCATGAACTGTTCTAAGCAAGAATAAAGTTACAGGATTGTTTTCAGTCCAGTGTCTGATTTTTTTTTAAAATTCATACATTAAGATGTTTTCGATTGTTTTATGTGTCTGAGGTTTCAAAGCAGGATGCTTAAAACATTCAGATCAGTGGACCTTACCATAAATGCAATGTAATACACAGCACTACGCATTAGATGGCAGTGTCTCACCTTGACACCTGAAACGTGCAGCGCGTTGGGTTTCACGTCTCATTACTAGACGGAATGTACAAAAGGAGGAGCGAAGATTCGAGGATCGTTTCTCCAGTCTTTTGATTGCTGTCTCAGATCAAATCATCGCCAAATCAGCGGGCATGACTACAGCGGTCACGCACAGGAAACTTATCAGGTGCCTATTCACGCCACAAACAAAGCGGGTAAATAAAGAATTGCTCTCAGAGACACAAACTGGTTTGGAAAGACAGGATTTGGCTTTGGAGAGTATTCAAAAACGTTAAAAATGGTTAAGATTGAAACCAGAATAAAAAAAAAAGTGTGAAACGAAAGCAATATAAAACCTATGTGTTGACAGCTGTTGGTTTATTTTTGATTATTTAGGGAATATTCTGGGAAACACATTTTGTCGCTGGTTCACCTCCAGAATGTTAAACAGCTGCGTTTTATGGGAAGTCGTGCGCTGGAACAAAGGAGGTAAAACAGTTGGTTTTAGGTGGATTTTGTTACAGACACAGCCAGGGTAGCTATTTCCCTCTGGAGCTTGTTAAACACAATTATTATTCTCATACATCTCATGTCGGATAAATATCATGCTACAGCTGGTTGGCCTTTCAAAGGCAACAAGCCAGATAATCAGTCAGTCTGGCCACACAAACCAGTAAAGCCACAGAGTGCATGTTTACATTTTGGCTGTTATGATATGGGGCGCCGTTTGTAAAGTGAAACATGCTAAAATTAACGGCAACACTTTTCCACATTTAGCTCAAAACAAGTCATTTTTTACAACATTTAGTAAAATATTTGTAACTTTTCATATTTAAAACAGAATTTTAAATGTTAAATCTAAATGTTAAATATTCAATCTAAATGTTAAATCTAAATATATTTAAATCTAAATGTTAAATCTACATATTATATTTAAATCTAAATCTAAATGTTAAATCTAAATGCTAAATGTTAAATGTTAAATCTAAATGTTTAGGCTAACATGCAAATTTATTGCACGGATCAGCGGAAATACCAAAATAAAAGCTTTCCGAAAACCTCCGATGCAAAAGTGTGCCGGTAGTGGTCAGACACGTTCTCACTCCCAAAGCGTAATAATTTTCGCTAGGTGACAAATTGTCAACATTTTATGCTTTCGGGTACCCAACAAGTTCCTAAATTAGGCATCGGAAAAAGGAGAGCACGTGAGAACTTTTGGACTCAATCTACGCATGTTCTTTCATTTTCTAAAAATCGCTTTGGAAAACACTATTTTACGTCATTTAACTGCTAGTAAATGTTAGGAATAAGGTTATAGTTAGGGATAAGGTTAGGTTTAGGGCTGCAACACATGGCTGGAAGACAAGTATCTTTGACAGTGTATATATAGATGTATTATATATAAGAGACAAATATTGTTCGTTTAATATGTTGGCATTACTAAATTTGGCTCAATGCTTACATATATGTATAAAAAGAAAATGTACAAGCTGTGATAACTGTGTCTGATAGAATGAAGAGTAGACTGATATATTAAATAATCCTTTATTGGGTGAGAAAATCAGACCATGTCATAACTGCATTAAGTCATACAGAATAGATATCAGAGCCTTAAACAGGCTGACTTCTGCTAAATGGGTCAAACTGGGAAGAAAGTATACAAACACATAACATCCTTATGTAACACTATAGATCAACTTACCTC